GGCCCCATTTTGAGTTTTACAAAAGTGTGTTTTTTCAATATGGCGGCCAAAGTATCGCTTCCGGTCTGGATTTTATTTTAAAATCGGCCATAAAATTTTATTTGCCAAAGATCAGCCAAATTTTGTTGACCTACATAAATTACACCGGAAGTTATTCAACCGGAAGTAGATTTGAACTTCAGTCGCTTTCCTGTTTAAAATCGGAAATGGCGTACAAAATTTGACTGTATCATATTATTAACATTAGTGAAGTCTCTTCGCATTTAAAATTTCAGATCAATCGATGCAAAAGCAAAAAAGTTGCAAAAAAATCGAAAAATTTGATTGAAAAAAGTGAGCGACGAATTTTCGAATTTCATAATTTTTCAAGTGCTATCAGGTCAGAAATTACAGGTAGATTGTAAAAATGAAAACCCGAAGAAAATCGATGCAAAAATACGCCTTCTAGAGCCGATTTTCGACTTTTTGCACATGTTGAACTGTGGCACTTCCGGTTTTGCAAAAATGTTCCAATATATATTTAAGGAACACGTCGCCACTACAGAAGGTCTAGAGAAGTTGAATGGTTGCTGCAACTACTGCAGTCTAGGCTCAGGAAGGTGTGTAAATTTCGGAAAAAAAAAAAAAAAAAAAAAAAAAAAAAAAAAAGAATGGACATTTCGATAACAAACTCCTACCTTTTCTAGAATAGATTTCATAAGCTACAACATGTGTACCTATTAAATTTGGATTCAGCAGTTGAAGTGGTTTTAAAAATTTGATAGCACATTCCAGTGGATTATCAGTCTGAAAAATTGAATCAAAAAAAAATTCATGAACTAACGTTTATTGAAGGAGCAGTTACACGAGTGGTACACAAGGAGACAAAGATCTCCATGAGGTCGTTTTCCATCTTGTCGATAATCATAATCATGTGTGGAGCGTGCAAGTAAAAGGAAAATGAATCTGATTGGATGATGACGATCTCTTTAGCTTTAATAACTTGCTTATTTCTTGGAAAAATAGTGGTGTAGGCCCTACTTACTTTAGCTAGTTCTTCTGGAATGAGTTCTTCTTCTTTTGGACCATCAAGATCATTATCCTGAGATTTCTTACTTTGTTGATCTTTCCTCTTCTGTTCCGCTAACTGTTTTTCTCTTTCTTCTTCAGCTTTTCTTTCTTTTTTCTTCTGTTTTCTTTTTAATTTTCTTAACTCAGCAGCAGATAAATTTTCTGCAACGGAAAATATATTGTTGAAAAATGTGAAAAAACTATTTAGTCAATAGAAACAACAACAATCATGCAATGCACTTCATTGAACTTTAGTCTCTATTGTTAAGGGGCACAGAGCAGGATTTTAAGTTTTCAATTAATAACGCGTTTCAGATTCAACATATTACGTCTCTGAAGGAGGGGGATGATCGCTATAGAAACAAAATATAACTTTAGACAAACCTACCTGAATCTAAGTCATTGTTTTGTTCACTTTCTGGTGTCCAAGGATGGTCGTGTAAATGTAAGTAGATCTTAAATAGATTATACAATTATAAATTATACAGTTAATCTAAATTTATTTTCATAATAAATATCATTTTTATCCAAAAATGAATTTAAAACTTACCTCAATGGCTATGTGAGCAGCTTTGACATAAAATGGATGCATTCGTAATTTATCTTCTAACTGTAATAACTCAACATAAGCTCGTAATGTCATTTTTCTCATACAATATGTATGAAAATCAAACTGATCTTCAATGATCTCAGAAAAATGCTGAAAGATATCAGAACAGAGAAATCAATAACAAATTGTGCCACCCTAAAAATTACACAATCTCTGTCCAGGTAATGAGGGTGTGAGCCA